TATAGAGGATGTAGAAGGGGTCCAATCTTGTGTGTCATGGGCCAGAGACTTCTCCAAAAATGGATCACTTTGATTTGATCATTTGAGAAGTCACCGAATATCGTTGGATATTCAACAAGGACTTATAACAGTTRTTWTATAATTCYACTTTAAACAAGACGTCAAKGCTAGAGTTGCACAATGASTATYATTAATATAAATTCAGTYATCTTGCAAGTAATCTCATAAGTAATTTTTGCAATCATTGCAGATAAAACATTGCCAACTACAGGCATCACGCCCCATTCTTCCACAGCTAGTGTTAAGACTAGCACTCTTAGGACTACTAATCAAGCTCCTCCGCCTACTGCTAGTATAAACCTCACTGGTACTATAGGTAAGGCAGAGTCCTAAAAGGAAGAGAATTAGCGGAACATTATACAAGCTACTCCATTCTAATTCTCCAGAAAGTAATTGGGATACCTGTTTTGGAAAACATAGCCCAAGGAGCCCAAAGAGATTGCTGTGGAGCAGCCTATTATGAGAATTACTGTGCGGACACACTAACCGGGACCTCTTGAATTAAACTGACCAATCAGATGACAGTAAACTCGACAGAGATTGAACTGATAACATGCGTTAGCCAATCAGATTATCACGTTCTCACAATCTCATTATATCGATGTGCTATCTGATTGGCTGGTTAAAAATATTGAACTAAATGTCGCAATATGATTGGTTAATGATACTAGTTTATCAAAATGGTCCCGGTTGGAGCATCCACACAGTATACGTAACTCTCATTTATATTGACTGTGTTCCTATTAGCTCCGCATGAGACCAAAAACTGGAGGAATAGCAGTTACATAGAACTTTAGATCTCTAGATCTTCATTCATCCTTGATTTCCTTCTCAGCTCTGTTCTTTTTTATCACAGAAAAGAGATGTGCACCTTGTCAGACATCTAGGAAAAGAAATCRATTGTACTGCGCAAGTGATTATGGTAAGCCCCACCCAGGAATGTAGCGAGGTCTTGATCATAGGGAGGAGGGGCAGTGTACAACTTTTCCCACCCATACACACACATATGCCTTTCATCTTTTGAGTTTCTCACCATATCAACGGATTCAGTAAAACTTTGGGGGGAGGGGGGAAGGTTGTTTGTCCCTTGCTACGCCACTGGCTCCMCCATCTCTAACTCTCCTTATCTATMAGAACTGTATCCATCCTTAAAGGTCACCAAGAAAAACACACAACCATTCTACTCATACGTCAAGTTTGGGAATCTAACCCAGGTTATCTCCTATGATTATTGCCTATTACCTTTGGCACTCATTTTTAAAAAAATAGTGCATATATTGCCTATGACAAAGAAATCCCCCTGCAGTCCTTAGCAACCCATAAAATAGATCTTAAAGTTTTTATTATTTTCCAGTTGTAACTGTGGAGATCGAGAAGAAAGAACACAATCCAGTGACCCAGAACACCAAGTACTTTGCTGCAGTAAAATACACATTTAAACAGAAAGATCCCTTGGAACTGATGGTCATTCTATGGGTTCTTAACAACGACTGTAACTGCCCAAACCTTCAGCTAAACCACTCTTATGTCGTCATGGTGAACAACGACTTTGGAGAGAATGGAATAGAAAGACTGGCGATGTCTGAACGATCATTCATTAAAAAATGGACCAAGGGGTTGCAAAGAAGAATATCAAAACTTAGGAATAMTTGTAATACTGATCATAAAGGAAGGTACTAATATCACTGTTGCAAATTGCCAGATCATGAAAACGAGGGCAAAAAAGGGTTTAAAGGGAATAAGGAATCTACCACCCAACCCCACAAAAACATAGAATATACTTATGATGTAAAATTTCAGTTCTTATCATTTAAGGATTATTAGATTACACTAATTAACAAGGGGTACTCAAAACATTGGTAGTAACACAAGGAACGAAATGTTCACATAGCAGAGATGTACATTTTCTCATCAATCCAAACCTTTGCTGTTTTGTTTGTGATGCAAAGATGACAGTGGATGGGTAGGAATGCCATTACGGGTTATCAAATGTTATCTGGTATGGTAAAACAGGGCTCAAACTTAACCTTTTTCTAAACTGGAAATCATTTGAATATCTGTATCTTAATGGAAAAATTGGTCAAATCTTGGAAGCATTTAATTGAAAATGTTTCCTATTAGTATATATATTTTTTCAACTAGCAAAGTCAAGAAAAGTTAAACACTTTGCTAGTTGATAGTACTTATTATTTTGAGCTCTGGTAAAAGGCTGTTACCTTATAATTACCAAGATAATAGCTACTGGATGGGTAGGAATTTCATCAATTCTTATAGCTGTTTTCCACTGTTTCTGGTATATGTGGTAAAAGGGTAGCTGCCATAGCAAGATAACAGAAGATGGGTAGGAAAGGCATCAAATATTATCTGGTATTTAAAACTTACTCCCCAATAAAATAACAGTAGCAGAATAAGAATATATAGCTAAATGMATGTAAATAAATATGGTTAACATGAAATATTTGTGTTTCTTTCAGTTAAACAAAGTTGTAAATAATTATTGTAAATTGAAATGTKTCTTTAACAGAACTAGAATAGTACTCTGTGTATTGTTTATTCTTAAATAGGGTCAATATAACATGGAATGCCTGTATATATATRCTTAATTATATTGACCAAGAATGTACTTGGTGCAAACATTTAATAAAGTAAAATAACATAACATTATATTGCTTATTTTATTATTATTTTTATTAATAAATCCGTGAAATATTTAAAAAAATCATCTCACTGGCTTGAAGGTGCAAATATTCATTATTGAATAAAAAACTACTTTGGTTACTGAACCTACGTCTATAAAATTTTGGCAGTGTAAATTATGCTATGTATATTTGTAAATCATTTGGTTTAAATTTAATACATGCAACTAGCTCTAAAGTAGCTATGAAAACAAATTGTTCTTGAGATATATTTATTTATATATTCAAGGATCATTTGGTGGTGATATTGTACATTCAAATTTAATTTCCATGGACTTGAGCACAGCAATTGATGGGTTTTAGGTGGCAYTATATTTGTATTTACAAATGTCTGAGGATGCAGGATAAAAAAGTAGCTAGTTTTGACACTCAACATACAAATGAAAAAACCTGTAGATGTATTATATATACCATGGTATARTTTTTGTTATACCACAGACAGGATATATAGCTCTAACAGTTAACTTTGATGCTATCTATATTAAATAATGCGATCAACCAGGGAATAATGTGTTAGAAGGTTTGCAACTGTACTAACGTATCAGATGCTAGTCCATCAGAGTGAAAGATAAAGGACTGACATCCAAAATGTCAGTACAGTTACAAACTTTTTTACACAATGTTTAAGCTTCCTTCTTATTCAGTTTTGTATTCAATAAACCAATGCAGTCCCAACTACTGCAGTAAGCACTAGTCATTATCATTTTAAAWGTGATCATTTGAAGTCAAGATTCATATGATACAGAAGAAGTCATCAATTAAGTATTAAACAATATATTGACCTGGCAAAGAAAAATGGTTAGCTAATATTGTAAGAATTTACTCAATTCCTTAAATATTGTAGTTATCATCAACATATCACAATCTGGACTCAATCTTTCATACACACGTCAAGAGACTCTTTATACAACTTCATTGTCATCCTCATTATTCAAGAGTCCATACTTCTGTCGAATGGCATCAGATCTCTTTTGTCGATCAGCTCGCCTCTGTGCGCTACGTTCACTAGCTTCTTCCCTCCTCCTTCTGATCCTTGTTTCCTCACGATCTTCTTTGTTGCCTCTGCTTCGGCAACAGCAACAGTAGATGCAGCAACCAAGGGTGAGGAGTATAAAACCACAAAGTGACGGTATAACGATTATGAGAACATATCCTAAACGTGAAAAACAAACTAGCATTAATAAAAACACAAGTAAAATGTGAAGAATGACCACCTATTAACGTTTAGAACTTTCGYTCTCACTTTAGGTCACGTGCTGTAGCCAATTTAAGATTCCTGCATCACGTGACATGACGTGCATATTGTCCATGACGTGCAGTCTAAAATGAGTAGCAATTCCCGTCCGTAAAACCCACTGTTTCATGGTATCAACGGACATCACTCCATATCTCAATAATAAAGTAACAACTTGATAAGAAAATGATCGATCTTTATCAATTTGTGATGAAATCAGCGGGTTTTTTTAAAAATTTAGCATGGGCTTAGGTCTATACACACTTGCAGCCAAAAAAAACGTTTAAGAAAGAGTTGCTTCCTAAAAAGGGAATATGATGGGAACTATTCTGAGACTATTTTATTCTATATATTCCATAACKTATAAAGATTTTTTCTTTCGGTATATAATTCTAGGAAGACTCTTTGAAGTCGAAAATTATAATCCTACCTGGGGCCAAGCACTGCTTCCAGTACCATTTATTCCCCTTACAATCACGAGGGATAATCTTGCTGGTCGGATAGTCTTTACAACTAGAATCGGAACTACACCAAWAACACTTTTTATCATCCGTGCAGGAACCACACGAGGAGTTCCTCTGCTCACACGTCATTGWTGGTTTGGTAGTTGCTGGCGTACTKGTCGAAGTCGAAGTATTACTTGTTTTTGGGGCAACTGTAGTCGACGCCTTTTGTGCTGAAGCTCCTAAAAAAATCCCCAAAACCACCAGAGATACAAATAGAAACGATGTGTAATTTTTTATGGCCATCGTGTACAGAAATCCACTGAAAATCTATATCTTGTTGTAACSTGTACTATATTTTGCAATGTTGTTTTGATCAAACGTTCGAAAATGCAATACGCATGAAATCGCTACAGCGCATAATCTTAGTAACACTCCGCTGTTCATTATTTYGGCTCAGACGAAAAAGCGCGGATTTTTTAGTTAGAAACGTAAAGTTTCCCAACAACAGACAATTTTTTTTGTCTTTTAGGACAAATTTAGCGGTTAAAAAGAGCTTGTTTTCTCTAATATAACATGGCGCAGCCTAAGAGAATTACTCAAGAGACGTTTGACACTGTAGTTCGTGAAAATATCGATGAATTTGACATGGATTTAGACGAAGCTGTTGWGGATGCCAAACAACAGTTTGAGTCTCAAGGCGTTGATCTGAGTAACTTGATTACTACGTATGTGAGAGAGCCAGGAAGTGATGGATCTGATGGAATAAGGCACAGTAATCCAGTCAAAGGTAGGGTATAAAAAGGGCCACTCCCAGCTTCACAAAACCTTAAATGAGGGCGTATGGTCTATTTTGGGTGTTTCTTGGGTGTAGAGGACAAAGTGTACGTAATTCAATAGAAACCTATTGTATTCTTTATAGTTTCGTTATAACTTGGAATCTTTTGTTGTGGCTATTGATTTGCATAGACTGTGTCCTGTATACGAAGTAAGAATTATGTAAAGCCCCCTGAATACATGCCGAACTCCCCCCCCCCTCCCCCCACACACACACACGAATATAAACCCACCCAGTTATGCAGAAGGCAAGAGAATCTGGAACAGTGGAGTCTATATTTTGGGTTCTCTTCATTTTTACAAAGACTTCCAAATGCAGGACTCTGGGTTCGAGATTTCAAGGGTCAAAATTTCGTAGATTCCAGATTAAAGGGTGCTGTGCAAAGGAATTTATTAATCTTTTGTTTTTCAATCCCCATCAGTCCACTCCCCTGGGGACATTAGATTACCCACTAATCTTTGTTCTGGTAAATTAACCAAAGCAAACACCAAGAAGTGATCAAGGGAAATAGACAGGGACTGATTACAGTCTAGAGGAGTTTTGGTATGACTGTGAAAAGCTCA